AGTAAGTGCAAAAGATACCAAGTCTTCAAAACCCAATCTGTTCGGAGGCTTTATATTCGTCCGTCTCACCCTGTCTCTGGCGAGACTATAATCCTGCAAATCATCCGTAGTGGAACCACCAGAAGTCGGTTGAGAAGTTTCTGGTTTCTCAACTGGAAACTGCTCGAAATCTACCACTGTCGTGTCTTGCTTCTGCTGCAACATAGATTGTTCATCAAAAACGACATCTCTACTAATCACAACTTTCTTCGCAACTGGATCCCAGAACTTGAATCCTTTGACACCTTTCTTGTAACCCAGAAAAATACACTCCTTCGATTTTGCATCAAGTTTGGATCTCTCATCAGCAGGTACATGCACATAAGCAGGACAACCAAAAATCCGTAAGTTATCAAAACTAACATCATGACCAGTCCATACCTCTTCTGCAACTTTCCCAGCCAGCGATGCCCTTGGCGATCTGTTGATAAGGTAACACGCCATGTTAACAGCCTCAGCCCAGAAGTGTTTGGGAAGCCCCGCATTCAACCGCAAACATCTGGCTCTTTCATTCAACGACCTGTTCATTCGTTCCGCAACACCATTCTGTTGTGGTGTCTTGCGCACTGTAAAATGCCTCTGAATCCCATGCTCCTTACAGAATTGTAGGAACTGTGAATCTGTGTACTCCGTACCATTGTCAGACCGCAAACACTTGATTTTTCGTCCTGTTTGGTTTCTACCTCAGCTTTCCACAGCTTGAACTTCTCAAAAACTTCAGATTTCTGTTTCAAAAAATACACCCAAACTTTCCGTGAAAAATCATCAATAAAAGTAACATAGTACCTAGATCCACCCAAAGATGATGTCGTGGAAGGCCCCCATACATCAGAATGCACATAATCAAGAATCCCTTGAGTTGTGTGCTTCGCAGTCTTGAAACGGACTTTAGTCTGTTTACCAAGAACACAATACTTGCAAAAGTCGAGCTTACAGCTTTTGACACCATGCAACAAGTTTCTCTTGTGTAATTCTGCCATACCACGTTCACTAAGATGAGCAAGGCGCATATGCCACAATTTTGTCGTATCATCACAGGACTCAACAGAGTGAACTCCACCTGCAACGGTACTCCCTAACAATCTGTAGATATTCCCTGCAGTCATCTTGCCTTTCATCACAGTCAATGCTCCTTTAACAATCCGAATGGTTTCCCTATCCTCGTCAGCCTTAGGGATAAAACCATTCTTGTGCAAAGTGCCCAAGGAAATCAAATTCTTCTTCAAGTCTGGGATATGTCGAACACCACTCAACGTCCGAACGGAGCCATCGTGCATCTTAATTCTGACATCACCAATACCAACAATATTGCAACATCGATCATCACCCAAATAAACCGAACCAGAATTAACCGGCCTGTATGTCGAAAACCATTCCCTATTTGGCGTGATGTGATAAGAACGTCCAGAATCAAGAATCCAAGCATCCGTCAATTGTGTCGTTGAAATAGAAAGCATATCACCCTCACTGCAATCAGAAGTATCATCCTCGACCACGTTCACAGACTTGGATGAGCCATCACGCTTCTCATCGGTCTGCTTTTTCAACTTCGGACAGTCTCGCTTCATATGTCCCGCCTCCTTGCACTTGTAACAGTGAATCGTCTTCTTATCCCTGGATTTGGATCTAGAATTCCGCTTCCCGGACCCTGCCTTCTCTGGCTTCCGTCCACGATCTCGATTACCCTTGACATATAAGCTATCGGCTTGAGAGCTTTCCCTGCATTCTGCTTCCGCTGGTTGTGAGCCAACAAGGCTGCAGTAATCTCCTCAACATTGATAGTCTCTTTCCCATATGTAAGAGTAGTCACCATGTGTTCGTAAGAGGAAGGCAACGAACACAACAGAATCATCGCTCTGTCTTCATCCTCAATTTTCACATCAAGCCGAGCCAGATCAGAAACGATTTGATTGAAGACATTCACGTGTTGCGCCAAATCGTGATCGTCCTGCATCTTCAGCCCATACAACCGCTGCTTCAGATACAGTTTTGTCGTTAAGGATTTGGACATAAACTGACTTTCCAACTTCCTCCAAATTTCGTCTGGAGACGATAGATGCATGACGTGATACATGACCTCGTCCGCCAAGCATAATCGTATGGTTCCTGCCGCTCGCTGCTGCAATTCTTCCCAATCTTCCTCATCCATCGACGCCGGCTTTGTAGGTCGCAAAGCCTTCAAGATCCCTTGCTGCGCCAATAGATCCTTCACCCTCGTTTGCCATAATCCGAAGTTACCCTGACCATCGAATTTCGCGACTTCGAATTTTGCTCCTGACATCTGATACCAATTGTTGACGAAAACGGGTAAAGAAAACGAAAGAACACGAGAATTTTACGAGGTTCGGCAATGTGCTTACGTCCTCGGTGCCTAGGCGGCGCTAGAAGTTTTATTCAATGATCTTTTTAGGTCTAGGTTACATCTCTATTTATAATAGAAAACCCTGGTACATAATTACAAAATCAACCCTGTACCGTACCGCGGGGGCTGCACCCCCACACCCCCAACCCACATAATTCGTAACCCCACAACGAGACTTTTTATGAGCCATACATAACAAGAGGTATGTCTTGAAATGACACCTTTTGATGAAAAGGCACGACTTAAAAAGACACCTCTTCACGAAGAAAGTATGTCCATGTTAAATCATTGTATCTCTTCAGCTCCTCAGCTAGTTCCTTGAGCTTCCTTGAAGCTAGCTTTCCTTGAAGCTAGCTTCACTCCAAGTTCAGCTCCAAGCTTTAAGCTCCCTTGCAGATGGTTTAACTACATTGTCTTAGTTTTGAGCTCTTTAATAGTTGATTTAGCTTCAATACTCCCACGTTGAACTACTTGGCAGCTGATTTAGCTTCCTTTTCTTAGTTATTTGTACCTTTAAAAGCAAAGTATGGCATATAAGCAAACTTTATAATATAAATGAAGCTTATAACATATCTTAAATATCATGCACGCTTAAATATGAATGAAAATGCAATCATATAACATATAAATAAGATGTATAACCTAAGGTAACCATACATACTAAACATGCTTCAAACTTAACATATGCTTAAACATAAACATGTGGATTTTAGAATACATTACATATCAACATGTAATACATTGTATAACCTATCATTGAAGGCTAAATAATCATGACAAAAGTTTAAAATATGTTTAATATACAAATTAGCCAGGTAGTAAATATAACAAAAAATGAAAAGGATTGTAAGATAAATCCTTAATTTTTGAATAATTAGCAATTTAGTCCTTGAACTTTTTAAATATTAAAAATTAGTCCCTAATCAAAGTTTAACGTTAATAAAGAACTAATAAGACTAAATATGTTAAGAACATCACGTTTGACCTTTATTTGAAGTGTGGACTTTTTTTATAAATTTCAAATTTAGTTAATTCACAATTAATGTATTAATATTGGAATAATTATAATCTTAAGAGATGTTTGATAAGTTCAAATTTTTAAGTTTATTAACATGAATATTTACACTTAGATTCCGAAGTTTTTTTTATATATAAAAAAGTCAATTTCACCCTTAGGCAAGATAGTGCTATGAAATGATTAAATCTGATAATAGTAGTAATAATAATAATATGTTTATGTATCGATTGTTCGACAATATTTGTTTAATTTAAAAATTCTCATAGTTCCAATATTTATAGATAAGTCCTTGAATTTTAAAGAGTTTGTAAATTAGCTCATAAGCATGGATTCAAGTTATAAGGCGTTAATGATTGATAAGCTCAATAGATTGATTCTTTATTTTCGTTAAATATACTGTAAGTTAACTTAGTTAAGTTTGAAATAGTAATTTGGTTAATTTTAGATTATTTACGAATAGGATCCCAGACTTTCAGTAAATATTAATACAACCCCTAACTAAGGAATTCAAATTGTGTTTTGATTAATGAATGGAAATCATGAAATTGTGATTATAATATGATGTCATGTACGATTTTTAATATTTAGGTTTCGATTACATTCTTGATCCGGTTTCAATCTAGACCGAGTATAGGATATTACAATTTGTTTCTTTTGCGTAGACAATGATAATTTCATCCGTGCCTAAGAATATCTCTGTTACCACTGCCCAGTCTCAAAAGGTTTTGGTTGTGCCTCTAACTCTGAGAGGTTGAAGATCTAATTAAGAAAATTCTTCTAACGTGGTCATTCCAAGGGTACATCTACAGCAGTGACTCATTAGGAGTTAATGTTCCAGTTTAGATATATAATGTTGGGTACTTTTGAATTGTTTAATAAGCTTATATTTGCATTAGTGGATCTTGGATCCACTCATTCATTTATTTGTTCACAACTTGTTTGAGAAAGTGACCTAACCCTAAAACCAACCAAAATAAAAACTCTTCCTACAAATCCTTTGGAAGATGGTGTGATGGTTAATCAAGTGTACAAGAGATGTATGTCGATGATTCAAAGGATTGAACTTCCTACTGATTTGATGGAGTTTTCCTTCCAAAAGTTGGAATTTGATTTGGATCTTGATTAATTGAGTGAACATCGAGCTTGGTTTTGATGGAAGAAGGAAAAGTTGTGGCATTCACATATGATAACTCAAACCACACGAAAGTAACTATTTGACTTGTGATCTCGAGCTTGCAACAATCATGTTTGCCCTAAAAATCTGAATACATTATATATATGACGAAAGGTGTTACTTGTGTACCAATCAAAAAAGTCTCAAATATATTTTGACTTAGAGTGTTGAATCTTTTTCAGAGACACCGGTCGAGCTCCTGAAGATTACAATCTCATAATTGATTATCATCCTTGTCGTTAAAGCCATCAAGGAAATGAACATGTAATTAAAACATTAGTAGAAATTGCACTATAGGAGACAGATAAATATGGTGACAACAACTTCTACTTTGTAACAATGATTACCAAGAAGAAACATACACGTAAATCAAACTCAGATGTTGGTTGATGGGGTTGGTATGAAAATCACTCGACTTTAGATATGAGAATAAATTCGGCTTCAACTATCAAACTATCTCTCACCATATACCCCTTGGAAGAGTCTTGCAGATGCTCTAATGGCACAAACTTAGGATAACCCCAACTTGTTTTGGAAGTAGTAAACGAATTTTCACCTGTAAGAAACTTTTAAGAAAATATTAAAGCATGTAAAAATAATTTTAAACAAAATGAATTATGCAAAGTAAAAATATATAACATTGTTAAATAAATACTATTATATTATATATATTGAAATATAAATATAAAATATAAAACTTCAAATATGACATCATAGCATTAAATATCATTACACAATGTATTTTTTTTAGTTTTACACAAATTTTGGACAGTTGGATGAGTAAAAATAGATATGTGATATTAACAGTAGAAAATGAAAAGATAATCACTGAACAAAAAACAAAAAGAATTAATCTCAGTCGTCTATTTTCACTCATGCAATTATCTTAAATCTGAGTAAGACAAAAAATATCTTACATTGTGTAACTGGATCATAATCCTATTTGCGTATCATATCACAAAATATATTATATATATATAACAGATATGGTGTTTACCTATCTTTTCCAAGTGATTAGATCTGATTTGGTTCCTAAGTCGTAGCTTCTGTTTCACGTATACTTCACGCATGGGTGGAAGTGTATTGGGCTCGGCTAGCTTAAGATAAACAGATAAATGTGTATCCTTAGACCTGAAATCTCCTTTAGGATAAACCGTTAAGTTCCTGTAATCAATACGAAAATACCACTTATCATATAGTTTCCTAACCTGTTTTGCAATAGAACAAACAAACTAACAAAACTTATTGTATAACCTAAAATGATAATACAATTATGAAGAAAAGGAAAAGAAGATTTGAACCCATCAAGTGAGTTCAACGATTAAAGGAAATATTATTCTTCTTAGAGGTCTTGGGTTCAAACAGTTGCGTTTGCGGATGTGTGTGTTGTTAGTAGCTAAGAATGATTATGAATAGATATTATATTTAATCACCCTAAGAATATTCGAAAAAAAGTTTAAAAGAAAGAATACCATTTTATGTCCTCTATTGTAACAACAGGAGAATCGTAAAATTCCTTGTCAAAATTTGAAAAGTTGTCAATCATCCAAGTAATGGTTCCACCAGTAGGCTTCAGAAGCACTGTTTTCTCCAACTTGAGAGGACGTTGAATCACGAAAACCTCTGCCCCCAATATGCAACAATCGTCCACCAAGTAACCATTAGCAACATTGTTAAAAGCCTCTTGTGATAGAAACTGTGAAAAGCCCCACTCGGTCTTCAACTCATAAAAACGCCTAACAGGCACCTCAATATCTATATACAAACCAAGCACTTGCAACAATTACTCATGTATATAAAGACATTTTTGCAATTACTCATGCATAAAAGGGTATAGCAATCAACCTTCGACGGCCATGTACAGGTCCCGAATCTGATCAAACAAGAATAACTTAAACTCGGCATTTACTTCCCAATCAAGAGATAAATTCCCAGAGTTTTCAATTTCCAAGTATAGGGAGATGTAACCATTTCCGTTGCTCTCTTTATTTCCAGTCGGATGAAGTACCAATCTCCTAATAAATTCAATATAATGAGAAAGGAGGAAGAAAGTAATACCATTATCAAAGCTTACAAGTCTCAGAACTCACCATTGGTGACCCCCAACGTGGAATGAACTAGATTTGTACTTCTCCACCTTGGCTTCAATCAATAAAGAGAATGCCTCTATTTTGATTAAGTAATGACTTGGAGGAAGATCCCTTGTCGTCCTTGTTATTCCTGAAAATTAACAACAGAAATCATTTCCAAAATCAATGGGAAAAAAGCTTTGGGTCAATTTGTTTATATAAAATGCCAAATGAGAGCTACTAACCATGCACTTCTGAGTCGTCCATGATAATGGAGAATATAAGATATTTTAATTGATTACGGATTGTTTTCATTCATGAATTTATATAGAAGAAGAATGTAATAAATATAAATGTATAGAGAGATCGTTAAGTTTCGATTGTGCACGCTGGGGTGCGGTTTGGGCACACCGAGGATGGAGCAGGGCACGCTAGGGTGCATTGGGGGCGGAACAGCGCACGGTTGTGTGCGGCTGAGAAGCACCGGATGTAGAGCAGAGCACGGTGGCGTGCGGCGCACCGGGGTGGATTCTTGGTGGCCAACAACACCGATGGGGATTGGTCTCCTCAAAATTTTGGGAGTTTTGAATCGTAAAATTTTCTTCTAATAGGAGACGGTAATTACATGAGAGACAAAGTGTCGCTAGAATTGCTTAATAGGTTATAGGTAAATGATATTAATCTTCAATTTCTTCTATAATTTTTAGAATTGACCCTCAACTTTTAAAAAATACATATACACCTTTAATTTTTTTTAATTTCCAATTTAACCCTTTAATTATCAAATTTATCAATTCAATTCAATTTCTTTCATAATTATACAAATTTGAGATACGATTAAATTTGAATAAAATCCCAACCCCAAAGTTGATACATGACACAAACGGTCTCACAAATAGTTTTATACATATATATTAGGATCGTATTACATAAGTGTAAAACTCTTTTATTATTTCACTGTATAAAATTCTTTTAATTTTATACAAATTTAAAACTGTTTAATGAATGAAAATAGATTAACAGATACAAATACAAATTCCAACATCTCTCACTTGCACATAATGAATGCAACACACATATAATCAATTTTAATAGATTGTACCATGTCTTTATTTAATTAAAATCTAGTTTTTATTTAATACAAATCTAGTTTTTTATTAAAAAATTTTGAAAAAATATGTCATGCGACCAACATACTTCGTAATCTCAAGAACAACTTACATACAACTATTAAGTATATATAATAGCCCAATTTTTATGCAAATTGAATAGGCTAGTTATTTTGTATATAAAAGAATGCTTCTTTACCTGCTCTCTTATAGTTTTTTCAGTATTCTTAATGGCACGCTTCTCTTATAGTTTTATCTATTCTATTTGGGTTTTTCTATTTTGTTTTCATGGCTAAAGTGGAGAATGATTTAGCAAGGCTGGTGCTTGATCCGGGAGAGGGTGAGATCCTACAACTTGAGCAAGATGCACCAGATCTGCCTCCATCGTATGAGAACTATTTCGGGGGTTCTTTTCTCACGTCAAGTGTGATCCACTTCGTTTCAACGAGTCACACTTGCAAATATTTGGCGTCCAATAGAGGGCATATTCATCTCTGACTAGGTGAATGGAGATTTTTATTTTCTTCATTTGTGGCGGTTGATGCAGAAAGAATTGAAAATGGAGGGCCTTGGAATTTTAACTCTCATCTTTTGGTTCTACATTGACTAAAAGAGGGAGAGGATTCGAAATTAGCCCCATTAACACGTGAATTATTGGATGTTGATTCATAGCATTCCGCATGATTTTGTTTCTGAGAAGGTCGCTCGTTCTCTTGGAACTTTGTTGGTTCCTTCGTTGAATATGATTCCATGGCCATTTCCCTTGGCTACAAGGGGATTATGAGAATTAAGGTCCGGTTAGATATCAGACTTCCTTTGAAACACAGGAAAAAGTTCCGGCTTGCTAATAGAAGAGATCACTATGTTAACGGCAAGTGATTTGATTAAATGCATTTAAATAGTTGAATCATTTGATTGACAAAAATTCAAAAATGATGGTCAAAATGAAAAGGGACTATAATTAGGTGATTTCCGGTATAGTTTACCCAGGAAAGGATTACAAATCACTACAAATTAATGTTTTGAAAGCAAACAGATACATGAATACAAATGACTTTATCTGGTTCAAATTTTCTCTTTGATCATTTTTTAAAAAAAATAAATCTTGAGATCTTGTTTATATACTCTACATTGAATTTTATACGTTACTCAGATGCTTATAGTATCGAGATTATAAGGTAAGTATTGATACTCTCTAATAAATACAGAAATATAGTCATTGAAGATTTTCTTAGTAGGTCATACTATTAATATTATTTTGGCTCTCGAAATTTATAAAATATATTGAGTACCGATATTATTATTGTATAATATCCGGTACTAAATTTAAGTATCGGTTCCATTTTGAGCTTCATGTTCGTGTTTCAAAAATTAGTATAAATACTTTTGGAGTAATATTGGTGCTACTACTCATTTTTCAAAAGCTTTTTGAGATGTAATATCGTTATTACAAGAACAATATCAATATTATTTAAAAATTATTATAATTTTTATTAATAAGTTATTTAAGAATTAAAAAGTTCCATGTCTCATAATAATATTATATATATATATTATTTAATTCATAAACCAAAAATCATATTCTATATATAATATTATCTTTCTCCTAATACATAATATCTTAGTCTTCTAGACCAACAACCAGTTAATTTAGTGAGATAAAATATTAGATTCCGAAAGTAAATTTAGAAGTTTGAATCCTAACGTTTGTGAATAACATGATCGGGTTAGAAGGATTATCTCATAATAGATCTCTACAAAACCATATCAGGAATATATCAATATATTAGAAATAAGAGGTTAAACCAAACACTTCATCCAAGAGATTGGATTTCCAAAGTTCTCTCTTTCCTGCGACTTCGTCAATATTAGGGGTGATCTTTATTATCAACTAAAGTTCTGCATTATACACCACATGTCATCATTTTATGACCAACCTCTACAGACTGGACAGCAGTTCCCCATAATTTGAACTGCGGATTTATCTATCCTTGGTACTAATTTATTACAATACTAGTTACCATTGACTATTCCAATTATCTTTGCAAATGAAACCAATGGTTTTTAAGATAAAGAACATACTATTATCCGGTAGGTACCTCTTTAGTTGGAAGACTGTGGCAGCATACTTGGGATCTTGGCAAGGAGTATTTCGTGTCGTCGTCGGAACTCATGACATTGTCATTTTCATATCTGGCTTCAACTTATGATCCAAAAACCATCTCTTTCAAAGATCTTATTGGCGAGTTATATCCATGCACGGCGGAATCTTTCCAAAATGTCATTCCTGTTGATGAGGGGAAACTAGTTAGATAATGATTGCATGGTGAGAAAAACACATTCAGATATCATTTGCTTGAAGATGCAGGGTATAGGAGTAGTTTAATACGAATTAGATGGGTTGGAGAGACAACCTATCCATGCTATTAACCCGACTGTCGCGGCCCAGAAGAATTCCCGGCTGATGGTGTTGAAACTGGAATGACAGAACAAGTGAGACACTTTGTTGCTAAACACTATGTTTGTAAAATAACAAACAAATCATATTCTACTTACAAGTAAAAGCACACAATATTCCCATATCCATAAAAGAATGTAGCCCAAACCGAACCGGTGAACCTGCAGTGTCAGCAAGCCAACATGTAATGAGCGTAGGCAATTAGTGTAACGAAAAACGATTACAAAATTGCTCCAGAAAGGCATAAAAGCAAGAAGAATAAGAAAAAATGTTGGTTTGAAGTCACTTAGAATACACTCTACTTAGCCTTTTACATCAAGATTATGGTTTCACGGTCATTTGCTTATGGTCGGAATCATTTATGCAAATAATTCTTCATAAATAGAATTGAAAGAGTGCATTACCACATCAAATCACGAATAAATAGTGCACGTGGAATCAAAAGTCCATTTCCAAGCACAGCCAGCACCATTGAAAAAGCTGACAAGCCTTTTATATTCTCAGGGTTCAGGAAATTTGTCCACTGAAAAGGAAGCACAAATCTTACTCCAATATGCAGGTGAGTTAATTATTTTTTCTTGATATCTTCTGAGTCTTATATACAGATGTTCAAACAAGGATTACCATTTGTGAAATAGGCATCCACATAAAAAGAAGTGTTGCCGTCCATCCAGAAATAGATCCTACGAATTTGGCACCTTTCTCGGAAAGTTTTCCAGTGTGTTCCTGCAAATTTGGCAAATGCAATCTCAGAAGGATGCAATTGTACTTCCAGTTCTGCATGCTTATTTGAAAGAAAAATGCAAGAAGTTCCAAAGCTGGAGGATCTTAAAATACATGAAAAGAACTAGGAGTCCAATCGATCAAACGAGAAAAAGTGCAGTCAAAACGCTCGAAACAGACAATGTAACAAGATAATAGAGCAGATTTTATAGAAGTTACCAGAGTTACAGCAGCTACAGCCACAACAAATGCTATTGTCCCCGGCATAATGCTTTTGGGTATGTATGGAACAAATGTGGACCACATTATCTGTAATCAAATAAGTTTAAAAGAAAAGGAGAGATGCTTGAACTAATAAAAACTGCCGAATGGCCGAAAGAAATATGATAGATTTTGCCGATCAGTAAATATATCACATTTGAATTTGTATACATCAGAATTTTTAAGTGTGCAGGCAACAGGGGACTGAGAGCTTACCTGGGGAAGCACTGAAAATCCACCAACAGTCATAAAGTCTTCCCAAAGTTTCCAGATGGTCTTGTTGAGCATACCATAGTAATTCAAAAAATTTAAAATGAGTCCAGCAACCACAACAACAGCCGTGGCCACGTATTGAGGTAGAGGCATAGCTGCTCCCATGGCAAGCTGAGTAATCACCACAAATATCGATATCACTCCTAGTGTTTGCACCACAGCTGCCTCCGTTTCCCTTTTCTTTGCGAAGTAAGAAAGCAATGAAAGGTTTCCAAGCAAACCGGTGAACATTCCCTGCACTTACAACACAAATAGAGGTCACAATCGCAGCTCAGCAGAGGCTAAAAGGATCTTCAAATAATGTCACTTTTGACAATGAATCCACCAAAACAAATACACTATCGAGTCTCTCTTAGGTATTGTATAAGAAGACTCAAAACCACTATAATTAAGCATGGCCTTGTCACAAATAGAGGTTCATGTACTGCTTTTCAGCAGACCAATAGCAGGAACAATCATGTTTTTAGCCGACTCTTAGGTATTTCGTAAGTCGCCAATTCTAAGTAGCCAATAATTTCAAAATTCATTGTTAGCATGAAAGGCATTGAAGTCCATAGGTATTTTCCAAAGCAAGAAGTCACAGAAGTCGAAGGATAATTATACATTACCAGCCATGGTACGGCCAGGAGGGCAGTCTTATTCCCTGCCATAAGATTGCGGGCGTTGAGGATGATCTGAGGCAATTGGAGCAATAAAAATGGCAAATTCGCCGCTCCGGCAAACTTCGCTGTCCATGAATCCCATTCATCGTAGCCCTTCCTACTCTCAACATTCACTGATCCCTTTCCAATTCAACAACAAACACCAAAAATAATTGTTAATACAATTTACCACTACTTATCCAATTGTCTACTAAGCAAATTTAGCTTAATCTTTACATCTCAAATTCCTTCCCTTTTTTCGAACCCAGAATACTGGAAACTGTCAACAATCCAAAAAAATATTTTTTTTTAAAAAAAAAAGAAGAAAAATCAAGAGTCTTCGATTGACTGTTTTTTTTTTCAACAAAAGAAACAGAGAAAAATCAAACATAGAAGAAACTTCAAAGTTTGATGTTTTAAACTTTCGGGCTATGCGAAATTGAAAAACCCTTTTGCATTAGCTTAGTTTCTAAAAAATCTCTGGTTTCAGTTTTATTTCTTATTTGTTCAAAATCCAGTGATTAAAATTTAAAACACCAACAAATACTAATTCAAGCAAAGTAGAAAAAGTATACGTATACTTATACTTTCGTTCTTTTAGAAAACTACATCAAAAATTTCAAATACAGAGAGAAAAAATCAAAAAGAATATCACATACGGTAATCTGGCAAACGGAGCTGTGTTTTTCAATAAACCGAGAATAGCAGTCAACAATTGTCACATTTCAACGAAAAAAAATTGAATTCCGAGATACCTTGTGAAGCGGGTGCGGAACGTCGGAGTCAAGAGCGCGAACCGGTCCGGCACGACGGGAGAGTGAAACGCGCGAGTTCTGACTCACAGGTAACACGTTAAACTTCTTCTCGCACCCTTTCAAAGGCAAAGAGGAGGACTTGGGAGTAAAAACACGAGAAGGGGGAAAGGAGTTTCGTAAAACCAAAGAAGAATGAGGCTTGGCGGCCAATGGAACACACAAAGAATCGGCCATTGAAGGATGAAAAAAATGAATGCAGAGGAAGACGAAAAGAGTTGGTTTTGTATTTGAGGAGAAGTGCGAATCAAGAGGCGAAACGTGGAAAGATTGTAGAAGGCTACAAAAGGTAGTATAACATTATACGAGAGTGACACGTGAAGATGATAGATATTTAATGCGATTGATTGAGGGGATGGAGTGTGATATGAAGACGATGAATTGAACGGAACACTTCACGAGAGAGGAAAGCGGTAGATCGGATCTTGTTCTCTCCTATTAAGACCAAACCTTTCTTTTTTATTTTATAAAGAGTTAATTGCATCATTCATCCCCAGTCTATTATAGGGTGTATCATCTTTGTCTTCTTTTAATATTTTTGTAGTATTTTCTATGACTTCTACTTTTTATACGTTTCTATTATTGGTATTTATGAAGGATTAGAACTGTGCTTGCTATCGTTGACTTCTGTGTATCATTCTCTTCATGTTTCCTCTTTTAAATTTAGCCGAGTCTTATGTTTCTGTCTATATGCAGAGATTCTTTCGCAGGGATTATTATGCAGGGATTAATTTCCGTTACAGACGCACATATGATTTTAATGATTGCATATGAATATTGTTTAGCTATGTATTTATGTATTTATTTATACATGCATTGCATTTTATCTATATTTTTAATTTTCTGACTGCCGGAGGTCTTCCACGGAAGTTACTCTCAACCTAGCGTTGGGGGCAGCCTACTACCCTACCTCCCCTTACCCCATACATATGAGAATTGGGTTTTGTTGTTGTTGTTGTTGTTGTTGTTGTCTCTAAACTTTTAAATATTTTAAATTCATCCTTAAACTATGATTATAATTCTAAATTAGTCCTCAAAGTTTTAAACATTTCATTTGCATCCCAAATTGTGATATTCATTCTAGATCGATCCTCAAACTTTTTGAATATTTCAATTTTATCCTAAATTATATGTATATACTATTCACATCTATTGTCAAAGTTATATCGTTATATGTTTGGAAAAAGAAAAACTTTAGGTTAAACTATGGTTGAAATAGATTACATATTTGGATAAATTTGAGGATGAAATTGGAAGATCTAAAAGTATAGGGATCAATTTAGAATGAGATTCATAGTTTATGGATGAAATTGAAATATTCAAAAGTTTAAGAACTACTTTAGAATGAGAAATATAGTTTGAGTATGAAATTAGAAAGTTTAAAACTTTAATGACTAATTTGTAATATCATTTTTTTTTTGCATGCAGTACGGTGCACCTCCCAATTCTCCGACTGTATCCCATCACCCAATCGCCCGCGCCGTCGCGAAAAGCTCCGCCTTTTACTGCTCCCATAGTCTGTTGGTTATAACCGTTCCATCCGTATTCAGCTTAACGGCTCCAGCTTTAGGTGGAGTCCATGTATGCTTTAAAATCTGATGTTGTGAACTACAGTCATCGGTTTTGGAATTGGCGGACAACGACCGTGCCCAGGATCACACCGAGTGTACGACCTATATTTCTGCCCAAGAGTTTGAGTACAATAGTTCTCGACATACTAGCTTCCATGAGTCGGAAAACTGGATAGAAGGAATGCCTTCACGAGTGCCTGTAATAAGATCTTCATCAGTTAAGTCAATGTCATCTTCCTCATTGATCTGTTTGGCACCCGACATATTCCCTGGGATTCTAGAACTGGCAAGGATAGAGGCTTAGGAGGGAGCTTTATCATTCACTGGATCATCGATTGCCATGTCCAAGACCTGTAGTATTCCAGGGTTGGGTGGCCTGAGGTTGGAGTCGGCTATGCCATCGGAGGATGGCGGTGTTTCGTTGCTATTCTCTGACATCGGAGTCTTTTTAACAAGTGTTAATAATTTGACCTCAAAATGATAATAAAACATAAGATAATTATTTTAACCAAAAATATTTTAAACATCTTAATGGAAAGACATAATTAAATCAAATGCCCATTTTATCCATTTACCCCGTTTTAACTCCTTTTACCTTAACCTACATATCTTTAAGATTTTACCTGATAATGTGAAAAAAAAAGAAAAAAAAAGAGTAAAACTTTAATAAACATAATAAGAGGTAAGGTGAAAGAAAAGAAAATCAAAAAGAGGTATTTTTCATCTTTAAAAAAATGTGAGATAAACTAAAATATATAATTTTCAAAACTTAATTTTCATTCCTTGTATTCTTCAAAAGCACTAAACAAACTCCGCTATATGTCATTATCTTTATCGGTATTTTTGGGAACGAATGACATTATATGTCAAACATTTAACTGCGTTTTTTATAAACACCACAAAAGAAAAGATATATAGCAGCGTTTTCCAACAACGCCGCTAAATATCATAACCATTAGCGGCATTTATAGAAAAAAACGCCACAAAAATTATAAAATTTAATGGAGTTTGTGATGACAAACGCCGCTTCCTTTTGCGGCATTGGTTTTAGCGACAGTTTTGGCAGTATTTTTTCGTCATAAGGGTTTTTAGCAGCGTTTAAAAACGTCGTTATATGACTAAAAAATGCCGTTAAAATCTTATTTTGTTGTAGTGAAATATAAAAACATTTCCCTCAAATTTTTTGGGGTTTTCTACCAAACATATCAATGAATGTATATACATCTCAGTCTTCAAGCAACAAAATACGAGATTTCCTTTTCTTAAATCAATTTTTTTAATAAATTAATCCAAAAAAATGGTACTGGAAATTGATTGAAAGCATAAGATAAGTCTTAGTAGTATTAGTAAGACTTGGCATATTTCCAAGACTCAAGAACAGGGCAGAATGGGTTTTCCAAAATCTTAATCCTCTCCTAGAATACCTTCACAATGCCAATGGTTCAAATTGTATTGAAAATGTAGGGCCAGAAACACTATTGAGAAACAATAAAAATCATGCAAACTGGCTGATACTAGTAGCTTGGAGAATATCCAAATCCCCAATCAGTAAGGGTCGTAACTAATATGGCAATTTAACCCGAATACGACTGTTCCGACCCAACCCGATTCGATAGGGTCAATTTTTAAAATAAAATCAGGTTTGGGTTGGGTCGGGTCAGGTCAGGTTAGATAATTTAAGAGTTAGGTCGAGTCGAGTCGGATTCGGGTTCGGGTGAAAAGATTTCGACCGCACCTGACCTGAAGATAATAATGTAATTTCTTTAAAAAAATATTATTTTTTAATTAAATCCTTAATTTATACTGGGTCAGGTCGGATTTATACTCTAAAAAATTGGATCGGGTAGGAGTCGGGTCGGTTCGATTCAGGTGGAGAATACCTATTTTCGGGTCGACCCTAACCCGACTTGTTGTCATCCCTAGACATGACTTTTATTCATAAAATATGAAATTACTTTTTAAGAATAAGATTACTGAAATATAATATTACTCTATAAATATTTTATTACTTTGTTTAATTTATTTAGCATGAATATAATATTACAATGTTTAGTTGTAGGAATATAAGATTATTTGAACATATATTTTACCTAATTATCCTTGTGATATATATATATATATATATATTAATAAATTAGACTTCAATACTAAATTATAAATATTAAAATAAAAAATGGATAGAAATATTTTAATCGTTGAACTAACTTTTAAAAAAATAAATTTAACATATATTAATATAATGAATAGTGTTATAATTCACTTACACAATGTAAAACGTTTTAAGTTTTATGCAGATTTAGGATCATTGGATGAGTGAAAATAGATGTCTAAGATTGACTCCTTGTGTTTTTTTCTAAGTGAATATCTTCACATATCTTACTGTTAATCTGGACCATCTATTTTCACTCACTAATGACCTTAAATCCGTTTAAAACTAAAAGAGTTATATTAAACTTATATTTTTAAATAATTTTTATAAATTGCATATTTATTTAAATAGAATATAATATAATATGAAAATTAATATTATGATCTTGAATGAACAAAGATATTGTTTTTGAGTGTATAAGACTTGTTTTTAAAATAATTAAGTTATATTATTTAATAATTATATTTTTACAATAATATCATTTTTCACCTCATAAAATTATAAATAATTAATATACTAAACATTAAAAATATAAAATAATTATAGCTACTCAAATTTATTGATATTTTACAAATTAAACTCTCAGTATATTATTATGTTTGAGTAAAACATGAAGAATAATAATTTAGAAGAATCTATGTGAAAAAAAATCATTATTTCAGGAGTATTCTTGTCTAAAATGATGAGAATTGTGTAGTACCTAAGAATATGAAGATAATGACATTCTTACCATTTTTAACAAAAAAATGCTACTATTAATAATAAATTATTATTTAATAATAATCTTTTTTTAACCAAACACGATAATACAATTTCATAAAAGATTATTCTCCTTAAATATGATCTTTTTCGTGAATCGAACGATATCTTATTGGGAAAAGATTACTAGAATGTTATATTACTTGACACATTACTAAAAATGTTGTATTATCTTGCATTGTTTATTTGACAAGAATGTATAAACTTCCAATGTTTAGTTGAAGGAATATAAAATAATATATATATATATATTTTACTACATTATCCTTTAGATATATTTTCTTTTTAACAAGTTAAATTTTCAATATTGAAGTTAAAATATTTACATAAAAGTTCATAAAAAATATGATTTTATGTTATTTCTAATCTATATATATTTTTAATAAAATTTGTACACATAATTTAATATATTTTTTAATTATTTTTTTATTTTTTATTTCTTCCAAACACAAAAATACACTTACACCAATATAATTGTGTTTATTTTTAAATACCAAGATATTAAAAGATATACATACTTGAATAGAAATCTAGCATTTTGGAAATACAAGAACCACTGAAGAATCATAACCAAAAGAGTAGCAATTGCAGGCAAAATGTAGGAAGACAAGCAAAACAATCACCATGAACTATATTTATGCAAAGCACAACGAATAAGCATGGTCTGGATGAGCATTTGCTTATATAATGAGCTCACTAATTAAGTGAACTATTTAGTACAAGTTTCCTTGACAAACACCCAAAACATAATCCCACGCCATAAAAAAATTAAGTTGATTCAACATTATGCAATCCTTTCATAGTCCTTTCTTCCACGAGATGCTGGTGGGATATTCGAGATGGGATGGTTGGCCCTACGCCCTACATTAACAACGCCAATTAGATGTAGCTTTATGAAATTACCGAGTAATAGGACGTAACTAAAAGTAAGTTGGCGTAGAGTTAGGAAATATACCCCATGGCATGCCATTACTTAATGAACTATTCCCAGGAGAATGTTGTCCCCCTGAATTAAAGCTAGGAGGAGGGAGTTGTACTTTCATCTGATTCCATTCATTACCTCGAGGGCCAGTGGATCTCCCATGATTGAATCGCGGAAGGGTTTGCTGCCCCAACCGGCTCAGAGAATTTTGCGTCATATGCGGCATGAAGTGAGATTGCTTTGAAATGAAACGAGGATATCCAGTGTGCCAATCATTAGCTGGAGGACTACCCATTTCTACATGTGAAAATCCTATGGGACCATTTTGTCTGCACTCGAACAATGTAGAAATAAGTCAAGGACAGTGAAGAAGCATTCCAGCAAAAAACCAAAGCTCTGCCCTTGTATGTTTGACATATTTGAACACTATGATACATATCAATCTTTATGACGAACAAAATCATCTTGGGCTCAATTATATGGAACATAAATGCAAACCACAACCTTCAATAAGTAAATTAAAAAAAAATTGGTATACGCACAAGAAGACATGATATTGGAAGCTAAACAAAAAATTACAATAAATAATTAGCATGACCAAAAGGATTAAACTTCCATAAGCCATTCACTAAGAAGGAAATGCAATAATTACCTTTGAATTGGTAAATTTAAGCTTGTGGCTAAGGCAAGGTTGAATCTTCCAACTCCAACAAACGAATCAGCCGAACCAATATGCATTCCTCTGTTAAAGTCAGCTGAGAAGCAGCTCTCATCTGATCCATCCTCTTGCAGAAGTAATTCATCACTGGTGACAGAAAATGCAAGCAATATAAGCAGCTAAAAGATTGTAGAATAAAAATCACAGAAAAAATTCTCAGGTTTATGAGTATCCTCAATTCCTGATGCAGCACGTAAGGTTTCTGGGGGACAATAAACCTAACAGGAGCCAATCACTCTTTCAGAGGATAAAGAAGAGCAAAGACAAAATGTTGTGATTGTCTCCATATCCAAAAGACAATTATGTACATATATATATTAACAGATGTAAAATAACAAATACAACAAAGCAAAGACATAAATATATCTTAAATATTTTATAGCCATGGGTTTAGATTGCAATCAAATTCTCTACCCACCTATAATTTGGATCCCAATCTCCAGGATCAGGTAATGGCATGCTGGCCTCTGACTTATCTTGAGTTGTTCTTGAGCTATACTGGAGTTGCACATTAGAACCAAGTCCTATGGAGTTCGGTATATTCTGAACAACTGAGTAACTCGTAGCCATTCCAATGCCACCTCGCTGTTGCTTCCAGTTGGCTGTGCTAGAATTTGATTGTACATTTGAGGATAGACCACAAACTACTTGAGGATTTCCCTCAGTCTGGCTAGAAATGGGGCCATCAGTTACTTGTCCTTGCCAATTCGAAGATGATGAACTCTCTTGAGATTGGGAATTCCCAGAATATCCCCAACCTTTTCTTCTATTAAACTGCCCAGCTGCAGCCATCTTACTTAAAGGTGATCCTTGACAACTGTTTCTTGCGGGAGAAGTAGGACCATAGTGTCCAGGAGAGCCACCTGAAATTTGACCATATGAGCTTGGAGGAGTGAATTGCGAGGGACTAGTTCCAAGGGGAAGTGCTGCAAAGTTTCCAGCTGATGGACTCACACCAAGTCCATTCCCATGAGAGTACGTCATAATTCTTCGTCTAGCATCAGGGCTACTTCCAAGCATTGATGCACCACTCTGTGGATGCATGTTCATTGCTGATGGACCAACAGGTGAATAATATGCAAACATATTAGTACTATCTCCATAACTCCCGTAGCTGCTCCCAAGCCCAGTATTATCGTTATAGCTACCATGACTTCCTATACTGCCATAGCTATTAGCATGGCCATATGACACCATTGAGAAGTGTGGGCTATTATGAAAGGAAGCTCTGTTCCTGTTCGGAATCTACACAATGGAAAATATGCATCAGTATAAGACTAATACTAAAAAATATTGCTTCAACTATATATCAGCTTACATTAGGAGAAAGACCAGATGCAAACCAATGCCCTCCACCAGGGTGATGATCCACCTTTATGTTTTGAGCAACAGGCTATAAAAAAAAACACCAGATTTTAGGTGTATCATTTCTTTTGTTTCTCACCCAGAAATATAACAGATAAGTATTATCTTCAATAAAACTTGCAACTAAACAAATGCATACTGCTCTGACAGACAACAAGCTCAACCCAAGAGAAGATTAGTAGTGCCAAAATTTTCACACCAGCCAAAAGAATCTCATGCTAGCAGAAACGACATGAAGAGAGGCAATAAAAAGGAAATTGAATCTCCATCAAAACATCGCTTACTTTCATGTTTGAGATAAGTAGAGAATTCCAGTATAAGATTTCATATGTGAAATTATTTTCAACAACCTTGAACTTTTACTACAACTTTTTATAACAAGAGAAAAGTGATAATATAGCATATGATTATACTAGTGGTCAGAAAAATACATAAATCACCAATCAGCTAAGAATAAATAGCAATCACTATGGAAATCAGGAGAGGACTAGGAAATCCTCTGTATGCACGGTTTCAAGCCAATCTCTGCCTTTCTTTCTTTTTTTCTTTTTTTGGGTCGTACTAAATTTATGATTTAGACATCTATATTTGTACTGGAAAATCAAAATGAAACCCAAATAGTTGACATAAATCTATGACATAAGGTTCAAGCTTCATCAATTGCACATTTACTTGCACTTGCACAGGTGCCTTACCAAGCGAGATGCTTCAGGGGGAGGTCTGTACGGGCATGTGAAAGGTTCCCCAGTAACAAATGGGTGTTTTGAAGCCTGCACAACCCAGCTGAATCTCTAAATATTGCTTCATATAAATTGGAATAGAACGATAAAGAAGTATCCAAGGGAAACTTTAATTACCTGGAGGGGTGACCACCGTTTTGCAGGATCAAACTCAACCAATCCCCTCAAGAAATCAATCAAAGCTAATCGTATTTGACTCTCTACGATAGGCGCAATATGAAAAAAGCATTAGTAGGTTCTTAACAGATGGTAGTCACACACAAAACATTTTCCCACCATTCTGAGCTGTAAATTCAATGGCGAACTTAGATGCTAACCTTTAATGATATCTTCTTTAGGCAAGTTCTTCCTGTAAGGATAGTTTGTAACAATTGCTTCAAGGTTCTTATGATTGAAATACTCTTTCCCAATCAACGGTTTCTTTAGCTCCCTCTGAACAGGAACAAGTAATAATGACTATCGGATGAATAAAATCACTGGCAAGTAAAAGCATAAAAATTAACATGAATCAACTATATAGAATTCCTATTCTTATACTAATTTTCAAGAAGCTTTCCTAAAAAATGCAAATATGAACACCTACAGCTTCGTAATCTTCTTCTGTTAATGCTTGGTAAGCACTTCTGCCACCACTGGAGACCTCACTGTTCTCTATATTGTGGATACTTCCAATGCACTTAAAGAACTTACTTGTATTTTTTGCCTCCTTTAAAACATAATCAGGTGGTTGTCCTCTACAAAATGACAACCATATATAAAAAGGTGTTCACAGTAAGCGCAAAAATACAATTGAACAGGTAATGAGTGAAAAAAAAAGCTTTTCAATTTATAGCTATCTGGTTGTAACAGTGTTTATCTGGGAAAAAGGAGAAACAAGTTGGAAACAGAAGGCCATATGAAAACAATCCGAAAATGATAAGCAGCAAATGACCTATACTGAATGAAAGAAAATAACATAATGACTATGAACATCAACTGATTAAAAATAGTTCAAGGAAAATCAAGTAGGAAGTGTCCTAATTTCTAAAATTCTAAAGATGGAACACACAATATCATTTAATATTCTGAATTTCGATGAATTAAGTCAGCTATATGACCAAGTTCTTATACAGAGTTCTCATGTAACTTTAGTGCAGAGCATTCCAGGGGTACTTATAATTACTTGTTTTAGGGTTCAATGACCAATTATTTTAGACTGATCTCATAGGCCAATCAAATTACAACATCAAATCACTGAATCGGTGTGCTACAACACATGCACGTGACCAACTCTTTTCACTTTTTGACATATACATAAATCAGGTATCATAGTCAGTTAAATAAGCAGAAATTATAGTTGAAGCAATTTTTTATGGGGTCACAAGTAGTCATTTTTTTTTACAATAACAAGTAGTTAATCTTAGAACCACCAAAAGGGGACTCATAGAATACAATCCAAGATGCAGTCCAGAGCATCCTTCAGAGGCTATTATATGACAAGAAATCAAATTAGTCACATTGATGAGGAAGTTATGAATATCCTACCTAAACTGCAAGATTAGCTCATCTCTTATAAAGCACATACATCTCCCTCAAAAATATTGGCTATTGTGCAAGTGTAAAAGGTGAATTGCCATAGGGATCTAACTTTTCATTATGATACTTTTAAGATTAAATGAAACGAATCAGAGAAAGAGAGGGACATAGCACTTCAAATTTGCAATGTCCGAAACATATTTGCAATTAAGAAAATTAGATCAAAATTTTGCTGGCATTCCTTGGACGGTATTATTTAATTAAGGAAAACTACAAATGTCTATAAACTTCTTCCATTTAGATAAAAAATCTACCTGCTCGATTGTATTATCCTATTAATCAACCTAAGAAGAGCTATTCCTAAATCAGTTAGAAGAAACTGATGCCTAAAATGCAGAGCAATTGTTAGCAAGATGTAACCACCAAAGCAGGAGGCATACCCAAGTATTCCATTCATTCGCCTTAGAAGATCAAATTCTGAAGCACCTGGGAATAACGGCAGCCCTAAAAAGAGTTCGGCAACAATGCAGCCAAAGGACCACATGTCTATATCTGTTGTATATCTGAACAAGGATCAAGGTTCAAACTAAAATAATCATATGACAGAAGGCATGTAAATCAAAAACAATGTATCTAATCATCAAAGATAATAATGAATCACAATTATTAAATATCACTTTGAGCAAATGTTCTCTAATTATTACTTCCAAAGACTACTCGAAACTGTGATAAGTAAAAAAGTTAAATAGGTAGAAACATGCTAAAGAAAATAGCAAACAAACTAAAACCAATTTTCAATATTTCAAAGAGATCATCATCTTATAGAAATAGAAAGATCTTAGTTATATTGCAGCAAGATTTAGATAGGGTTCCATATGTTATATTTTGATCATTATCTTCAAGGAAATAGAGTTGAATACCTTAATCATGATCTGAGATATAACAATGAATGCAAACCTACTTTTACATCATTCCTTTCCAGTTCATCTATTGTTGCTCTAATAAATGAAATAATTCAATGTGTAAAATAAGAAAAAAGGCAGTCAAGCCAAAATCATTTTGAACAATCTATTTGAGGTTTAATATTTGATATGTTATGTCCTCCCTACAGAAGATACATGTAAATACGATAGATGAAAGAAAAAGGATCTCATTATGATCAGTAGTAATAAAATATTATTATTTAATGTGGTGAATGAACTCAAATTGCAGCAGTACGTTGTTATATCAGCAGGGAACAAGTTGGTTCAGTTTTATTGCATGATAAAACCCAAACTCCGATGGATCATTTTAGACCTGAAGATTAGTAAGGCCAAATAAGTTACGCTGAAGTTTATTCCACCAAAGTCCCAATTCAGCAAGTCATTGAAGATGAGAAGAGAAATTACAGCAAAAGAAACAACACCATGACCCACCAAAATACAAAAGCAGTATGCAAGAAGAAGAGACTGAAAAGAATAAGCCTATAAACCCATGCCAAAAGGATACTGATACCCAAGAAGAACTTCGGGAGACCTATAATACCGGCTCTGCAGAAGAAAAGAAAGAACAACCATAAGAGCATGACAATGATGACAACGATCAGTATAACAAGTTGTAGCAATGGATGGAAACCTGAATGTAGGAATAAACAGTTCGATCCTCCATGCAAGCAGATCCAAAGTCGATTATTTTAATTTCTGCTGGCTTCACACTGTTATTTCCAGTACAAAAATATAAACTTCACAGAAAAATATCAAAATTTTATTATAAGTTTGTAATCCATACTAACACTGAAAAAGTAACTCACCTTGTACACAGAAGAATATTTTCTGGTTTTAGATCACAATGAATTATTCCAGCATCTTTTAATAAAGCCAGTCCACGTAAAATCTATTCAAAATAAAAGAGGATCAAGTCAAAAGAAAATTGGAAAGTGATGTCTACAGCTAATCAAATCATTATTCAGTTCAGAACCAAATTCAGCTATAAAAAAACTGCAACTACCTGTTTTGAGAACAGCTGAACAATGCTCAGTGACAAACCCCTAAAATGATTTATCTTGATAAGCTCATACCTAGATCAGGGGAAATAGATAAATAACATGCCGCCACAAAGTCATGAAACTTGTTTCATTGTATGAATATAAATAAATTCGCTTACAGATTGGTGTCAAGAAGTTCAAAACAAATGCACAAATGACGTTGATATACAAAGAAATCATAAATACGGACAATGTGATGCTTGTCTTCCGGATCATACTTTTTGTTTAACTGTGTAAGGCAAACAATGAAGACAATGATTTTCACTACTGGTATTTCAAAAAAGAAGGATATAGATACATAAAGCAGTAAGAAATTTAATTACCGTTGTCAAAATAGAAACTTCAACCAGAGCCTGCTGATAGTAAGCAGGTTGATTTTTAATTATCTTCACAGCAACAAAACTGTTTGTTTCCGGAACCCAGCATTTCGCAACCTGACCGAAAGTCCCATGACCAAGAACATCTTTGACAATATATCTACAGAGAATCATTGAAACATAAGTAAAACATTCCTCCAATAAAGTTAATTTTAAATGAAAACAGACCACCAGAAATAATTTTACCAGTTACAACAGGAATATTCATAAATCTACCCAATACCTGATCCTTCATGAGTAACCAAGTTCATATTCTTTCTTTATATTTTGTCTAGTTTTGAATGGTCAGTTAACCTTTGTTTCTCATAATGGATAATATCTTTTGAATTGCATAAACTAGCTAGTTTGCTGCCTCATTAAGGAGAAAAGCAAATCATACCTGGGGTAACGTAAGTAATATTAGCATATAGCATAATATATGGAAATCATCAACAGCCAAGTCAGATCTTGATATTGCATATAACATGAAATGAATTATTATTATACAGAAAACCCATAAAATTCAATTATGTACATAGAAAAACACCTTGAAAACAGTTTTGCCAATGGGTCTGCTTCAGTTGTCAGTTACGTTCTCAATAGAAAAAGTTCAAAACAACCCACCTATAGGAGCCAAAGAATTTAACAAGCTCACACGCAGAAATATAGACCAAAATAAGTCACCCAGTTTGGCAAATTTTTCTCCTGGCATAGACTCAAGTATAAGAATGCCCAGAACATCAACCAAAGCTCCATATTTAGATTTTAGATTGACATGCCACTAATCCAGAATGCAATGATTTGGAGGAAAATATGCACTTCAAAATGATCATGTTTCTGACACTTCAAAATCAAGAAATTGTCCATTTTAGTTTAGGATTAACTAGTTATCAGTAGCACAAATGAAAACTCTAATGAAAGGAAAAGAACCATCTTTATTCCACCATTAGGAGGGAAATCCACAATACCGATGTGAAGTTAATTTGAAAAGAAAACTACATGAAATGCTTTAGATATTAATAGCTCAATGTCCTGAGGAAAATTAAGAAAAGCGGTAACAAACCTTCGCTGTGCTTCTGAATTGATCAAGACAAAGTTCACTGATAGGATAAGATCTGAATTCACATTGTCATAACCACCATTGAGGATGCCAACAGACGGACTAGTCAAAAACCGCTTTGGGTTCAATTCTTCCAAATATTTAAATTGTGGATTGCATATTTGGTAAGTTTCAATTATGTCCTTAGTCAGTCTTGCCACCAACTGCACAGTTAAAGCTGCGTGTCAGCAATAGCATAAAGATTTGCCTTATATTTGGGGGGAAATAATTCTGTCCGGCCACCATATTGTAGTCTTTGTAACCAAATAGTGTTGAAATTCAGAAATTTCGATTATACAACATTTAAATGCAATTGGATGCAAACAGTTAATAAAATATTTTTAAGAGAAAAAGTGTTGAACCTCTTAAAATACTAGGATTTAATTAAGGAAATTTTTCAAAATGTTTTTCTTTTTCCAATTTCTTAACAACATTAAATTACATATGACTGTAAGTGATACATTTAGCATAGAGGATGATAAGCAGCATATGATAAGAATAATCCTCTCCTATGTTCAATGTTCCCTTTAAGTGGAGGATAGGATGAGTATATCAATGGAAAACATATTGATTATTTTAAACCTATAAGCTAGAGCCAAGTGCAGGAGATCATATTTTTCATGTCTCCAGAATTCCTCCTATGCTTGCAGTCTTCTTTGCATATTTGTATTAAGACGGTATGGTACTGCAAGGGCAATTTTAACTAAGGAAAACAATCACCTATCCCTTCCAAGAACCAAAATGAAACAAGAATTGAGTCCAGCCTACTCTTAATCGAGCATGCATACATATAATGCAAGATAAGATGATATAATACAATCTTGTACCCATGTTCACTTCAGCTTATCTTCGTCTCTCCATTATTTTGCACATCAAATGCACCCTGAAAGATTTTCTCCTTTGCCATCTTTTTTGTTTAATCTTACTTTTCTAGGACTTAAAAGATGTAAAATCATTCATACGTAAAACCCAAGCAAGATCTACGTAATTTATAATTTTAAGAAATATGCCAATATAATTTTACATTAAAAACAGTGCTAATTATTGAATGCTAAAGTTGCTCAAAATATCCTATCCTATACTTAAGACATTAAAACATAAATGCCAATTCAAATGCGTTCCTGCACTAAGACATGAAGAGGGTACATCAAGTTCAGCACACAAGGCCAAATTGCAATAGATCATCCAATGAATAGTGGGAGGTCCAAATTGGGATTTTCATGCAGACTTTGCTGATCCTGAGGGTGAATGAAGAACAAATCACACTCCATAGAAACAAATTTTTCACTGTTTCTTCTCCCTAGTTTAGCTTTCTTACAGACATCAAAGATTGGCATGAGTTGTAGTGCCTGATGGCTTGTCAGGGAAGATAGAACATGGGATCGAAACTAAAAGTTTACAGTCAATTCACTAATATTTGCAAGGACAAATTGCATTCTTCTGGGACAAATCTGATCACCTACTCTGATTAAGCATACTAACGAGGTACATCCTACAAACTGAAAGTATTACAGTTGACAGCTTTCTGTGTTCTATTTGCATCTAGTGAAACATTTAAGATTTACCCCCCATGTCCATCGAGTTAGCAAGGAACTTTCTCTTCCATCTTCTACATAGTCCATATGTTTAATTGGTTTATATATGCTTTCCTAGTGTCGCTTAAAAAGAATCATCAATCGAACAACAAATAAGACCAGCTGAATGAGCAAGCACATTTGGCCGGTTGGCCAAGCTGCACATCTCTGTTGCCTCATATTCCCTTAGGTAATGGATTCTAGACCCACTAGGAGCATTCATATGCACATCTCTTAATCCACACCAATGCAAACAAAAACCGAATCAAAAGCTCTTCAAGTTTCTACATATTTGCACATGCCAAAAGATAACCACAGCTTTTTTAACTAAATATGAACAGACAATTAGAAAAGATAACTTACAGGCATCCTAACAAAAACATGCGGCTTCCTATCAGCTTCATTTCTGGGTGAGTAAGGTTCAAAAACCAGCCGACTTGGCCTCCATTGCACGACGGACACTTCATCTGAGCCCAATTCGGAGGCCCTCCGAGGCTCGCTTTGATTACTAGGACCAGCTTCATCCATAACTATCCCCTTAAAAAAGGAATCGAACTTTTTTTACCCCAAAATTTACTATTATCCCTAATAGCTCCATTGAAATAGAAGCCACCCAAAACTCCAAAAAGTAACAAAACCCCAATTTTGATCAGCAATTGGGTTTCAATTTTGAAGTCAAGATCGAAAGTTCAGTATTTTTCAAAGAACCCACCAGCTGACTCCAATCCCATTCTCTCTTTTTTTTCTCTCTGGTTAACAGTTTAAAAAGAGAAAATCAGAAAATTCGAAGTCCAGGTCGATCCACAGATTTATCAATAAAGAAAAGAAAATCAAATATTGATGATATAAAGAAAAACAAGGGATTAACCTTTTTCTATAGATTGAAAATAAACACCACACAACAAAAATAAAAACCCACCAACAGAAGAAAACAAATCAGATTTTTTTAAAAAATTAAAAAAAGACCCAAAACTTAGATTATAAAGAAGAAATGAAACAAAGAGAGATCAATAGATGAACTAATAGTTAGAAAGAGAAAGTGTGGATTTTAGAGAGAGAGAGAGAAAAAAAGAGATGAAAAAGAGTTTTGGGTCTGAGAGGACAAAGACGCCGTGTTTCTTTCTTCCTCCAAATGGGAGTTTTTATTTTCTTTCTAATTTAGATTTTGTTATTTTATGGGATTGTGCTATGGAAAACACTGTACGGTGGCATTTTCTAAAAAAGTTATACGTCTGTTATAAATTTAAATATTCATGTTTTTTTCTTTAGAAGAATTAATAATTTATATTTCATAAATAATTTTATTTATATCCTGACATGTAACAATAATATAATTAGTATGAACAGTCACGTTACTCAAATCACCAAAACTACGAACTCGTAACCAGTTACAACTACAGGTGTATAAAATTACCCGACCCAGTTGATTTAATCTGTTGATTCGTCGATTCAGACTTAAAAAATCAAGTAATATTTTTAAAAAAAGTTATTCGGTCGGGTCAGATACCTGGCCCGATATTTTCCTGGTCCGGTCCGGGTTATAAAATCTAATTTTTTCGAGTATTCGGTTAATTTTTGTTTTTATTTATTTATATATATAATATAATGAATTATTTATGTTATGTATTATTAGATTTTGTATTTCGAAGTTTTAAATTTTATGTTCGGATATTAGAGTATGTAATGCGAAGTTTCGAACATTTAAATTTATATATTTTTTAAATTAATAATTTAAAAATAAAAAAATAAAAAAATAGGTATCAGGTACCCGAAAAATTCAAGTACCCGATTATCGGGTACCCGTAACATCCTGATCGGGACACAGGTCAAGTACCCGATAATCGGATACCCAAAAATCCATATACCCAGATTTACACACCTCTAGTTACCACCGTTTTTTCTCATATATATATTCTTATTCTAATGTATTTATTCGCGTATTAAAATTTAGAGAGAGTTTAATTCACGAAATGTAGTTTATTTGTTTAGAATAAGACTATTAAAATATAATGTTATTTTGTGAATATTATATTATATTGTTTAGTTTGTTTTATAAGAATATAAGGAATAGGATAGTCTGATACGTTCGACGAGTATTGTTGATCACTAACGATTAACATCATTAATTTAATTTATAAAAATTTAAAATTCTAAAGGATTTAACGTATAATTATAAATTAGTTAAAATTTTAAAAAATAAATTATTTGAAACAAAATGTTAATTATAATATTTTCCATATTTTTTGGGTAAATTGTATCATTGATCACCTAATTATTTACCTCTTTTATTTTTACCACAAATCTTTTAATTTTGTAAATCTGACTACTTAACTATTTAGCTCTTTTACTTTTATCATCGATCTTTCAATTTTGTCAATCAAATCATTTAACTATTTAATTATATTCAATCAAGTCACTTGTAATTTAATGGAAGTGTTGACGTGGCGATTGATCTAATATGTATAATTATACATTTAGTCTTCAATATTTATACAATTTATTAATTTAATCCTAATTTTAAATTAATTTAATAAATTTAATCTCTCAATCAGATGGTGACTCTTGTCACCACTTAATTAGATTTTATTTTTATTTTAATTTAATATATTTTAACTCTAACCAGCTGGGATTAAATTTAGCCGGATCTTATGTTTCTGTCTATATGCAGAGATTCTTTCGCAGGGATATTTATGCAGGGATTAATTTCCCGTTACAGACGCACATATGATTTTAATGACTGCATATGAATACTGTTTTAGCTATGTATTTATGTATTTATTTATACATGCATTGCATTTTATCTAAATTTTTAATTTTCTGACTGCCGGAGGTCTTCCACGGAAGCTACTCTCAACCTGGCGTTGGGGGTAGCCTACTACCCTACCTCCCCCTTACCCCATACATATGGGAATTGGGTTTTGTTGTTGTTGTTGTTTGTTACGATGATAAGCAATGTCCTCGAGAAGCTTAAACCATTCTTCTAATTCACCATTTCTAACAAATATACGCTGTTGATTATTGCTATTAGATTCCTCAAAGCCATAAATGGAACAGGATGGATTGGACAAAACATCTAATTAGATTAAAATTAAAATATAATCTAATTAAATGGTGACAAGTGGCATCATCTGATTGTGAGATTAAATTCGTTAAATTAATTTAAAATGATGACAAAATTAATAAATTACATAAATATTAAAAACTAAATATATAATTATATTGATTGTATTAATTGTCACGTCAATACTTCTGTTAAATCTTAATGGTAAGTGACTTGATTGAATATAATTATACAGTTAGGTGGTCTGGTTGATAAAATTGAAAGATCAGTAATAAAAGTAAAAGGTTAGGTAGTCAATGATATAGGTTACCCAAAAAATTATGAAAATATTATAATTAAATTTTATTTTAAATAATTTACATTTAAAATTTTAACTAATTTATAATTATACATTGAATTCTTTAGAATTTTAAACTTTTATAAATTAAATTAATGGTGTTTATCGTTAGGGGTGCTGAGCTGTGCTCATCGAGCGTTGTAAAATTTTCTTAAGGAATATAAAATTATTTGAATACACGTTTTACTAAATTATCTTTGCGATATATATCGTTCAACATGTTAATTTTTAATATTAAAGTATAAATATTTGAATGAAAACTCATAAAAAAATTTAATTATTACACTATCCAACTTTTGAGGAAACAATATATTTAACAAATCATTAATATAATTACTATATCAAACTTATAGTCTTAAATCATTTTCATAAGTATTATATTTATTTATATATAATATAATAATATAATATGAAAATTAATGTAATAGTCTTGAGTGGACAAAAATATTATTTTTCTATGTATAAAATCTACTTTTTATAATAACTCAAAGTTAGATATTATTTTTAAATGCCATAGAATTCACACACCACCAAGGGAAGTACAAGATATCATGACCAAGGAGGGCCTGTAACCCCCTAGATCGATGCGGGTAATCCGATCCGATCTGGATTGTCACATTAGGACCACCGGAATAACCCACTGTAAAAATAGTGGAAAATTTAAAACTTTTCTTAAAACTTGTAAACTCATAAATTCATTTGTTACTATAAAAAATAAAATAGATTTTCAGATTCGTATATAAAACAAAATACAATTACATGCCCCCTAATCACATGTATCGTACTCTGCAAACAGCACCGGAAGAACTCCCTTACTGATGACGATAGTTGCACTGGTACAATTCTTTTAACCTGAAAAGATGAGTAACAGAGTGAGCTTTGGAAAGCTCAGTAATACAGAACTACCAGATGATGCTGAAGAACGTGCAGATACAGATAAACATATATTTCGTTTTTGGTTCTGAACATCTACAGATTTTTATGATGATCGGAGATCCTACTGATATTTCAGATGTTAACGGACAATGAGCTTTTAGTTCAAATAAATACTTTGAATGATTGAGTTCAGGAGATCGAAATAGGTTATCTAGTGTGTTCCCGTAAAACCAATAAAAATATACAGATATTTTAAAACATATATATATATATATATATATACCACCATCCCATCACAACAGAATGTGTAGGTTCCCAAGAACCATACACCCAACCCACACAACATATAAGGCCCTGAGCACAAAGCCGAGGAACCTGCGAAAATACTTCTTTCAACAATACCCCCCAATTAAAACATTTTTCCGCCATTAAACGGAGATATCAAAACTCAAAACAGAATTCAGAACAGATATCAGAACAGAATCCAAATCAGAAATCAGAACAGAATTCATGTCATGTATCAGAACATAATTCAAGTCGGAAATCAAATAAAATATTTATATGATTAGGGAACACACCAGAGTTTACAGATATTATTCAGAGGTGCTAAATAATCTTAGCAGGCAGAGAAACACGGATTTTCAGTATACCGATAAAATATCGGAAGTTAGAAATATTATTGGAAAAGTTCATTAACTGACGGAATCATCAGTTATTCAAAATGTGAATTATCAGGATCATATCTTATTCGGACAGTTTTCAGAAGTTATACGAAATCATAAGGGTATTCAAAATCCTTTACATCCATGTCAATTGATCGGATAATCGAACAATCTTGAGAACGAAGATTCAGAATCTTAATAATCTATGTCGATTGGTCAATTCATTTTCCTTCCAGGGTATTTACTCTTTAATACCACAAATTCTTGTCCATATATCATCTTCAGAATCATCGCTGAATAGATCTTCCAATGGTTTTTATTTCCTTTCCAAGCTTCCACGATATCATGAAATACTGACATGCTTGATTTGTAGTTCATGTTCCATAAGGACAGTACATCTTATAAACTCATCAGAATTTCCAGACTTATCTAATTCACTTACTTAATCCTCAGTCATAGAGGTTACCTAGTTCATTTAACAGTCATGTTCATTCCAGTTACTTCGGGATTTTCCAGAGTAATTCAAACGTTCCTGAATTTCATACACATGTTGTACTTCCGTTCCATTCAATTTGGTCTTCGTGGTTGATTTGTCGAACAAACGTCCAATTCTTAGTACTGAATGCGATCTAGAGTTGAGCTAAGCTGAATACTTCTAAAATTTATCAACGAGTCAAACTTGAGAAGACGAACACGCATTCCAGTAATATCTATGCCATTCAGGTATTGACATAGCTTTAGGGTTGATCTACTCACTTAAATTGTGTTCCATTACTTTTAAAGGTAGTCCAACACCCATGCTTATTTGGATTCATGAATTAATCCAAGACATTTACTTGGTATAGGCCATAAGAGTATTTTGGTAATTTTGGTGTTCAGTTTTATTCCATTCATATCAGAGCTCGAAGATATCCATTCATTCCTGAGTTTGGTGATATTCTTGGTTCATTTCCATTACAGGGGTATTTTGGTCAT